TAGATAAACTCATTTCTAATGGATCTAACTTTCGTGATATTGTAGCTACTTGCGATGTTAACATATAAATAGCGTCAGAATCATGAAAATTGCTATTCTTTTAGGATTTACCTGTTCAGAAGGCCATTGAAAATTATTCATAAATATTTTTTCAATTAAATAATATGTTTCATCAAAAGGTTTTGACATTAATGATTCACCAATAACAACATCAATAATTGATTTAGGAGGTCCTATTAACCCATTATAAAATGTTTAAATTATTAACCAATCGGGCAAATAATGAAGTGGACACTTCCTGAGAAGTTATTTAAAGCACTCCCAAGTCTCGTATATTGATTCTCCTTAAAATTGACAAAAGATGTAATATCATTTCTTAGCTTAGCAGTTTTTGATGGTAAAAAATACTTAGCCAAGAATTTCTATGCCAGGTCACTCAAGGCTCTAATAAATCCAGGTTCTAATGTGTTTAAACATATTTTAGCTTTATCCCTTAAGGAAAAAGGAAAATACTTAAGTCTAACAACGTCATTAGAGAGCATCATTAGAGACACAATTATATTGAAATGTGGCACAAACTTCTAGAAACTTGCAAGATGTAAGTTAGAATCTTCAGATGGAGTTCCCCCAAACTGGTTATTTTGTATCATCTGAATGATATCGTGTTTTAATTCAAATGTGTTAGCTTATACAACAGGAGTTTGTATACTTTAATGAATTTCATATACCGTAGAGTTAGTATAATCTCTTAATGATTTTGATACATTCTCATCAATTTGATTTTCTAAATTATTATGTAAAGTATTGGTCATTTCTTAGAAATTGTGAATTTGTTTTTATTTTATATTTTTTCTAATAGTTCGTTCAAACTCAGAATCGTAAAATACTAGACCTTCAAATCTTGCACCACGCTTACACTTTTAAATATAAATAATAAAATAAGTAAAACACACTAACTAAACAGTAAATTTATCTCTATTTTTTTATATTTTGAAATATTTTTAAATACTCTCACAAGCACTTATATATAAACGACACTACAATTTTTCTATAATATTTCTACAATTAAAAATAAAGATTTTTCAAAGTCAGAAAGGTTTCGTTACCATCCCCGACAATGACGCCAAAAACTTGACCCGACTTGAAATTACACAATTATTTAAATTTAGAAATATGGCCAAAGGCTTGACCTAATTTATATTCAGTGGCTAGTGTGTAAAAATATTATATAAAGATGATAAAAATGGTTTACACACTAGAGGTACTACTCTTGTATTCTTATCATTCCAAGTAATATAAGATTTTCTTTAAAAACCCCAGTATTGATCCCACAGAGATAACCAAAACTCTCGTAAAATTGACTTTAATAAAACCTACTTTTTAATTTTAGAAAACTCATATAGTAAATGATCACAAGTTCTTGTGTAATATCTAATTCTATAGAATTAAATGAATGTTAAGTATGTTAAACATATGAAAAATGTAAATGCAGGACAATCTAAAAAGGTTTTAAAATGTAAAGTTACCATAACTCTAAACTGTCAATGTATGAAGAGTTCAAATTTGTATAAAACATCATTCTCCTTGCAATGAATTTATAATTAGTTTAGGAAAATAATTTTACATATAACAAATAGGAGCAATTCTATTTTTTACTCTTTGTCAAGTGCATAAAGACATTGGCTAATCTAGAGTTTGGTCCCTAAACCTGCGGTTAGGCTGGGTAAATACTAGCTCTCACTCTAGAGTTTCCACTTTCCTTCCGCTAAAAGCTAACATCTCACTTTAGTTTCCCATCATCTGAACCAAATAGGGGATTTTAGTCTGTCACCTAAAATCTCCAACTCTATGCCCATCAAAACTTATTTCCCTATTTATTTGCACTTAACCTCAGGGACTACATTCTCTTCCATGATGTTAAATTGGATTCTTACTATGTTGAAACATAGCCCATTTTGGGTCACTACGTTTTATAATAGATTTTAACAAATCAATTGACCAGAATTACAAGTAAATTAAACATAGAGTTTGAATCATCACAATTTATGAAAATTTAAAAGCACTTTTGCTAAACTACATTCCTACACATAATTATTCCTCATTGCAGGGAGAAAGACAAAGAAAACTACTCAGATTTCATGAAGAAGAAATAACAACACATGGATTTATAGATAAATAAAAATTTAAATAACAAGATAAAGTAAACTAAACAAAGCACACAACTTATCTTACTCCTTCCCAAATAATCCTTATATTTCCTTTGAATCACTTACTCTCCCTACAATTCTACTCCAAACTTACTCAAAATCTGTAGTGAAGAAGATATCTCTCACTTATCTTGTTCTCCTCCAAATCCAAGCAAGCCTCCAAGACTTTCTCCTCTCTAGGAAGAATCCACTTTTCTATAAAAGAGTCTATTTTCTTCCTCCCAAAAGTCTCTCTTTTGAATCTGCAAAAGTCTCTTTAAATAGAGCTCTCAAAATCCCCAAGAGTTTCTTCAAACACCTTTTCAAAATTCACTAAATTCAATGGATTCTCTAGATAACCGATTTTGGCGCCTAATCGTCAGATCCTGGTGCCTAGGCGTCAGGCTCTCTGTTGCTTGACGCCTAAGTGCCAGATTATGGTGCCCACGCGCCGGATCAACATTTGCCTTTTTGATTCATTTGACTCTAATTTGCTCCATTTTTGTTCCTATGCTTCATTTAGTGTACATACACCTAAAAACATCAAAAATACATTTCATTATAACACAATATCATTAAAAATAAGCATTAAATGTGCAAATAAAAATAACATATTTCAGGCATGTCACCATGCACAATAAGGTAAATGAGAAAATTTTGTATTAATTATGCATTTACTTCAGTAATCAGTTCATTAATTAGTTCATGCACAATAACGTAAATGAGAAAACTTTGCAATAATTCTACTTTTATTTCAGTAATCAATCTATGTACATCAAGGTAAACAAGAAGTTTTTTTATTAATTCTGCTTTTACTTAAGTAATAAGTTTAGTAATCAGTCCATGCTTATCAAGGTAAATGAGAAAATATTGCATTATCTTTGCTTTTACTTCAATAATCAGTCCATGCAATACAAAGTAAATGAGAAAATTTTATATTAATTCCAAATTTTGTGAAGAAAGGAAACACAATTCTTCATGAATATTAGAAATCAACATTGTTAGAGCCTTGAATAAATCTTTTACTTTTGTAATCATTCCTTACACAAGTAGTTAATTACCAAATCAACGCATCAATTAAATTTTTTTATGATGAAACACATCATAAAGCTTCATAAAAATAATGAATCAACACTGTTAGAGTCATAAGTAAGATTTTTACCCTAGTAATCAGACCGTATACAACAAGTTAAATGTTAATTTTTTGCATTAATTCAATTTTTTTAAAAGCAACCTAAAATTGCATAAACATCACAAATCAACATTATTAGAGCCTTAAATAAGGCTTTTACTTAAGAAAATTGTCATTCACAACAACAAAATAGAATAAATCATGCATTAATACACTATTTTTCTAAGAAACATAGAATTAATTTTCATAATTATCACAAATAAAACTCTTTAGAGACAAATAATTCTCTTAATTCAGTAATCACTCAACACACATTAGGTTAAATGACAAAGTTATGCTTAAATTTCAACTATATATATATATATATATAACATATCATTATTGAGAGGAAATAAAGCTTCCTTCATCAAACTGTCAATGCACAACATGTAAAATAGTTTTTTTTAATTAATTACACATATTTCTAAAAAAAACCTTTTTCAATTTTTCATAAACTTTACATATCATCATTGTTTTGGCCTTAATATGACATTTACTTAGTACCGTGGCCATACACAATAAGTTGAATGAAAAATTTTTGCATTAATGTAAATTTTTTCTGAAGAAAAAACAACCTAAACTTTCAAAAACATCACAAATCAGCATTGTTAGAGCCCTAATTAAGGCTTTCACTTAAAGAAATTGTTTAGACACAACAAAAAAATAGAATAAATACTTAATTAATACAATATATTTCTAAAGAACATAATTTAAATTTTTATAAATGTCACCAATTGACATTGTTAGAGTCTTAAATAAAACTTTTACTTCATTAATCAGTCTATACACAATAAGTTAAATTAAATGACAAATTTATGCATAAGTTCAATATTTTTGTGAAAAAGTATAACCTAAAACTTCATATACATAACATATCAATTATGCTAAAAAGATTAAAGAAGACTTCCACTTCATAAAATTTAAAAAAAATGCATCAATACAACAATAAACCAACAAACAACTCAATATATGAAATTGTATGGATTATTCCAACAAATGTCACTTAAGTACATAGAAGGCTTTGTCAATAAATAAATGTACAATATTTATCATCTATAAATGTTGCTCCCACACTTAAAAATTTTCTAAACATTAATACCTTAAATCTGAACTGGCTTTCAAGTTGATGATAATGATGTCCCGAAACTCGTTCAGTGAAAAACTTTGGATTACTGAAGAAAACTCTCTTGCACCTAATGTTATCTTCAAAAGACTACAAATCCTAATATCTTGACGGCTTGTAGCCTTAGCAGGTCAAGGAGTTAGCTGGTGGGTTCAAATGTGAGACAGAGGGGCATAAACATATACGTAGCTTGAAAAAGGCCACGGTAATATGAAAAAAAAATAGTAATCCAAAGTGTGGGCGCAAGCTGAGTCCGGATAATGATTGTGATCCACCAGAAGGAGCGGAGGAGGAAAAAAAAAACAATCTTTAGTGGATCACAGCTATTATCCAGACGCAGCTTGCATACAAACTCCGAACATAATATTTTTTTCCAGCAACACAAGGGGATGGATGTGGAGAAACCCTTTCATCTAAATCATCCTCAAATAAAATAAAATAAAATAAAATAAAATAAAATAAACAACAAAAGGATAATAATAACATAAGAAAGGGGAGGCACAAACTTTATCGTGAAAATTCTATTTCGAACAAGTTATGGGCAGAAATTCTTGCCCAAAATCCGACTTCGCTGTTAGATTCCGCTCTTTTTATTTGGGGTTAATACTTACATGGAGTGGCAAAGTCTTCTTCGCTGCTCTACTTCATCACTTCTTGGCTCCCCTTTCCATCGAGATCTAATGTCGTATCATCTTCCCTTCCACTTCTCCCTCTTAACCCTAACCCTCCTCCTCTCCTTAGCTTCCTCTGCACTTATGATTGTCGGTGGCTTTGTTACAAGCGACTCCTCTTATTTTTCTGACATCCTCAGCCGTGCCAAAGATGAGCTTCCGCTGCTTCTCTCTATCCGCCGCGTCATCCACGAACATCCTGAACTCCGATTTCAAGAGCACAACACCAGTGCTCTAATCCGCTTCCACCTTGAAACCCTAAGCATTCCTTACTCATTCCCAATTGCCGGCACTGGAATTGTTGCTCAGGTCGGTTCCGGCGCCTCTCCTATAGTCGCTCTCCGTGCTGACATGGATGCTCTCCCTCTTCAGGTTCTCCTTACTCTACGTTGTTTGTTAATTTTTTAAAAGGGTGCTATCTTTGTTGGTGATTGATGCTTGCGGAGATGATGTAGGAATTGGTGGATTGGGAACATAGGAGTAAGTTTGATGGGGTAATGCACGCTTGCGGGCATGACGTGCATGTCGCTATGCTTCTGGGAGCTGCTAAGTTGCTTAATGAGCGAAAGAGCAATCTGAAGGTAATTTAGTTCTTGGAAGATTTACATGAAATTTCTATACTTCGGTGCATCTTTCTGGCAAGCAGCGTACATGTTTGAACTTTGAGAATCAAATGCCTCGTATAGTGATTATATTTATTATGTGGTGCAATGATTTTTTAATTGCTTTTAAAAGGAACAAATGATGATAAGAATGCGGATTCGGTATGCTCAAATTTAGAAATCATAATTGTAGCGCTTTTCTTAATATCGGTGAAGAGCATTGCCTCTCACAGAAAATATTTGCGTCCTACGTACGCATCACTGCGTACTTCGGAGGTTATTTAGAGGGTACAGACGGGTTATATCCGCATTATACCCTCCTGTAACATCCTTGTAACTTACTTATAACTACCGGTGCTACAGAAACGCAGATCTTATTTGTAAGTTACAGATAGTTACAAGTAGGTTACAGGGAGGTTAAAGGGGAGTATAACACAGATGTAACCCCCTTATACCCTCTGAATAACCTCCCGACGTACGCAGCTCTATGTACGTCTTACGTATGCAAATATTTTCCGCCTCTCACGCCCCAATATCAAAGTGAGATTCTTAATTTAACCCAAAAAAAGTGTGATATGCATAAGAATTTTGTGGTCCCCCAACGCAAACCCCAAAAAATAAAATTTAAGATAATAAAATAAAATAAAATCTTCATTGCTTAGTATTGCTTAGCATTAGTAATATGTTAGTACCATTCAAAATAATACCTAGAAAAATACTGACCTAATATGTACAAATTTTTGTGAACTAGAATCACTTAAAAATTTCTCCAAAATCAACAATTATATAATTCAGGGCCTACATGAATGTCTTAGAATGAGGGGCATGTTTATTTAATTTGTATGGACAAGAAGACCTGAGATTTCCCGAAGTTCTAAGTTTGGTTCATGTTTGGGCCGGTGATTAAGCAACCTAGAAAATTTGTTTTGGGTTTGAATTGGCCTAAAACCTAAATCTAATCTGGGTGATGAGACATTGGGAAATTCAAGTAGCATTGCATGGTTTCCATCTTTTTATCCAAAATTTCATGTACTCTACTCCTGTCTAATTTTGTTGGTTCAAACGACCCAATGTGATCAATTCATGTAACATCGCTCCATCGCAAACCATGCATGGAAGTCTATCTATTTTTAACGTATTTAATGAGCAGTTTGCGTGTGGTCAAATTTTAAAACTAAATTTTTTTAGGGAAAATGTGGTTATGCCCAACTTTATTAATAAAAGAATAAAATATGGAGTTAAAATAACACAAATTACAACACAAAACAAGATAAACAACAACAAAAAAAAAAAAAGAGCCTATGAAAAGGCTAACACTACAAAAAAAAAACAAAAAACACTCCTATCTCAGCAACCAAAGTAAAATAAAAAAAAAACATCATAGTAAGCACAATAGAACAACAACAACCATCATCAAGCATATTTCAAACCACTATAGGATAATAAGAGCATCAGAAACATAGTAGAAGAACTGCAACCAACATCAAAATCTTCTTAACTTCCAAAGGAGATCGAGAGCAGTAGAAAACCAACTTCAAGCTTCTTTCAAGAAGTAACCCATCATAGGAGAATGAAGGCATCTGTGCAGAAAGCAATCTCAACAGAACATAAAAGATCAGTTCCATCATAAACATAGTAAAAAACTCAAAACAATTCAAAAGATTTTGAAGCATAATTTTAAAATCCAAATTCAAACATAACTTTGAATTCACATTAGAGATGCAGTTCTGCGATTGACAGGGGGAAAACGTGGAGTATTACAACCAGAAAGAAAATCCCAGAAAACAACAATCAAGAATAAAATAAGAGAGAAAACAAAGGAAGCAACCGAACAAAAAGGGAAGAGCTTAGCCACACCCAAATCTAGACCAAGGGATTCTATCCAAATTCAATGAAAGAAAATCCCAGTTTAAACAAGAAAAAACTAAAATTTACAGACTATCCAAACACTAAAGAAATCAAAACAATAGATCTAACAAACTAATAATAAATAGCCAGGACAAAGCTCAACGACATTTTGAGATCCATTAAACAATTGACATACTATTCCATCTAAGTGTAATAAATCAAACAAAATATATGAGTAAACCGGGATAGATGGTTTAAAACAAAAAAAAAAAATACAGGGTACATCAGAACTCACCCAAAAACAGCCTAAAAATTAAGAATAAAGAGAAGTATCCATTTAATAAGTTAAATAATTGACAAACGAAAACGAAAAGTGAAGCAACATCAGCTCAACAAAAGGCTACCAGAAAAAAGAAAAAAACAAAACACATTATTTGTAAGTAAAGAAAAAAAAAAACATAAACAAGAAAAAATTCACTTAGAGCCCACAAAACAACACCACAAAAATCACACAAAGAAGAAGAATCCACAACATAAACAAAGCTACAAAATACCAAAAAAGAAACATAAAAAACAAAACAATCAAACAAGAAAGCATTTATATCAAAACAAATCAAACAAAAATAAGTCAAGACATAAAGGATGATCGGACCAAATTAGTTAGAAAATAACACATCTCAACTAAAATAAATCTGATTTAACAAAAATAGGAGGAAAGATTAAACTGAACATAAAAAGCTACCCGCCACTCCAAAAACAAGTGCAGTCAAAATAAAGCCAACTAAGAGCTATACAAGTCATAAAACAAAAGACAAAAAAACAAAGTAAATTAAATATCGATCAAATAATCACAGAAGAAAGCTCGAGCTCAAAATCAAACAGATAAAAAGCAGGACCTAAAGGTAAAACCAACCACAATATGAAACAAGACAGCCTCCAAGAGATAAGCAGAAAAAATGAAGAAACTACAAGTTATAAAAATCCTTAATAAACTTATGAATACCATACTTAAATTTCCATTTGCAAGTTATCTGTTTAATTTTTCAAAGCTCTTATATATATTCTCATAAGAGGTACTAGAATTATTAAAGATCCTATTTTTTCTTTCAAACCAAATAACATAAGCAATAATTTGAATAACTAAAAGGTAGAATCTCTTGTGAATTTTGCAACTAATATTCTCAACATGGTAGAAAACTTGGAAAATGTTATTAACCACAATGTAAAGAATTAAAATTGAAATGCCTCCAAATAATTTTTGATTTATGCATCAAATTAATATTGTCTAAAGTTGGGATACCAAGTTCTCCAAAATTTTAGAAAGAGAAGTATTCCAAGAAATAAGGAATCGTAGAATTTTTTTTCTCACTATTAATGTTAAAAAGGATGTTACTAATCAAAAAGTAATTCCCTTCCTAATGCATTTATGTAAAGACGTGGAATGAAATCAATAATAAAAATAACTTCTAATGGTTTAATTTATTAATTGAAACCGACCAGTCATAGATCAAACTTTTTTTCCCAGTCAACCAACCATTTATGAAGCTTATCACTAATTGTTTACAATCCATCACATTTAGTTTAGAGCAATTTATAGTACTACCAATGTATTTTCATGGTAGAGAAATATTTTTTTTCCCACAAATGTTACATAAAGATAACGGTAAATTATCATTAATTTTCTTATAATAATAAATATCAGACTTAGAGAATTTAATGTTCAAATTAGGAGCATGACTAAAAATATTAAGAACATTAACAAATTGTTCTATAATGAAAGGATCTACATACCCAAAAAATAAAAGATCATTAGCATACATACGATAATTAACTTTATTAAAACATTGTTTCGTGATAAAATTATTCTAAGCATCTGACAAGGAGGAAGTGACATCCATAATTATAACAAATAAATTAGAAGAACAATGATAACTTTGTCTCAAACTAGAAGAAGAAACAAAATATATGTTCATTTCATCATTAATAGTAACAAAAAAAAATAAACATCAGTTGTACAGACTTATTCCAACGAATAAGTCCAATAAGGAAACCTAATATGACCATTCATTCATAAAGAAAAAATCAACTAACTTTATCAAAATCTTTAAGTCAAATTTAGAATAGAATTTATTTCCAAAATTGATAGAGTTAAAATCAAATAAAAGCTCATTTGCGAAAATGACATCACCATCAATATCTTTTCCTTTAATGAAAGCAGCCCGAACGAGATTAATAATATTACAAAGAGAAATTTTAGGGTGCATTTAGGGCAGCTTATCAACAACGACGGTGTTTTCAAAATGCCCCCTCACTGTTTGGATGTAGCGTTCGGATAGCTTATGTGCGAAGAACGTTTTTATTTTATATTAAACATGGACCGCTGGGTCAAGCCATGTGGTCCGCGTTTTGGAAAACATTTTGACGGGGTTGCCCTTGTCCCCGTCAAAGAGAAGAGTCGCAGGGGAGAAAAAGAATAAAATATATGCTTGATTGCCTCACTCGTCGTCGCAGGACGAAGCATCGCTCGTCGTCGCAGGACGAAGCATCGCTCGTCGGCGCAGGACGAAGCATCGCTCGTTGCTGTACGTCGAAGTCATCACTCTTGCTCTCTTGGTTTCGCCCAAAACCATCGGCTTCGTGAATGAAACCTCGCAATACAATCTCGATTAGAGCTGGTAGCGAAGGCCACGATGGCATCTCGACATACAAAGACCAGCGATACTCCCTTCTTTCTCTTCCTTCTGCTCCGCTCCTACCAGAAACCATCCGGGAAGGTAAGCCTGCTCACACCATCATCGAGGAAGGTAAGCTTGTTCACGCCACAAGAAAAACTACTTGGAAATATAAAAATAATTAGATGATGAATTTTAATATTAGTTTAATCAATATGTTTGGTCGCATATGGCTCATGGATTGTTTGGTCGTATTTATAAACATGCCACCCAATTCCTATATATTTACATATTCATCACCTAAAATTTATTTTTTTATATTTATACCACCCAAATCTTTCATATAAAATTAAAAATATCAATATTTTAATTATTAAAAAGTGAAATACAGCTTTTCATACATATGTATGATGGCATATATGTAAAAATTGAGATTTAGGTATTGAATATTTATGTGCA